ACTGATCAGTTTTCCCAGTAAGGCCTAGATTTTTTTATTTATTTATTTATTCATATTTAAATTTTTAATCTCTAGCCACCTGGTTTCTATCCTGCCATTTCCAAAAGCTACTTCAAAAATCTTTCAAAAAGCAAAAAAGGGGTTTAATTAGAAATTGTGATTTTTTTTTTTTTTTTTTTTTTGTTAATGGTTTTCAGGTATGGAGAGAATGCATTTTAGAGCGTTTAGATATTTACATTTATAAATTTGATTGTAAGCAGATAGCAGATAAAGTCTGCAGTTTAGGAAAATAATGTCTATTATTTTGCTGTAGTTTAGCAAAATAGACATTACATGAGATTCAACTTGATCTTATAGTACTTTGCTGATCATAAGCCTTTAGTGCTACATGCAAATGTATTGTAAATGCACACTGATCCCATCAACATTTGTTTTTTTTTTGTTTGTTTTTTTGGCTTTGTTTCTTTTGTTCCAGGGATGGAGAGCACCCTGCAGGAGGAGCGCAACTTGAAGCTCCAGGTGGAAGAAGAACTGCTGCAACTGAAGAAGGAGCACTCCATGCTAGACTGTGATCACAAGCAAGCAGAGCAAAAGCTGGAGGAGTTGCAGGCACAAAAGGAGAAACTTTCTGAAGAGGTAACTTTTCTGAGACGTAGAAATGCATGAGCTGTTCAAAGTCTGCCTGTGACAAGAGGAGATAAATGTAGAAAACATGCCTGTTCCTTTACACGAGAAGAGTGCATATCCATATCTTATTAAAAAGTCATTAAATGATAAATATAAGGAAATATTTTATTTGAAAAATGTTATGGCACTTTGAAGTTTGTCTGAAAATCCTGACATTATTTGAAAAATATGTTTTAAATGAAACTATTTTAGCCTATGATGAATTCAAATTGTATTAAGGAATTTATTGTGAATGTATTTGACGCATTTATTTATTATTAATACTTTTGCATCGATTTTTAAAATATATTCAGGGCACATTTTCCATCACATGACTTTTTGGTTGCTGTAGCTGATGGATTAAATAAATGTGTATAAAATAACCCTCACAGAGTCCCATTAGGGCGAAGTTTGGCCCATTTACTGACAACAAATGTTTTCAAATCAGTTGGATAAGAGCAGAATACAATTGAGCTTTTTCTTCTGCAGCTAAAGTTTCTCTCTATCTAACCGCCCCATTCTGTTTTCTTGTGCGTCCAGGTGATGGACCTCACCCTCCGCCTGGAGCAGGAGACCCGCAAGCGAAGCTTGAGCCAGTCCGATCTGAAAGCGCAGAAGCAGCAGGTGTCGGCGCTCGCCTCCTCCGAGAAACAGCTCAAACAGGAACTCAACCAACTGCTGGACATGAAGCAGAGCCTGGAGAAGCAGAACCAGGAGCTACACAGGTCAGGCTCAAAAGCATTTCAGAAGGAGCCCAATTTGCGACCGCGCTCAGTGCTGCAGCTTTGATGTCTGTCATGTTTTTTTTTGTTTTTTTTTGGCTGCTTCGGCTCTTGTGTTCAGCTTTGCCTCCGCCTGTGATTGACAGATTTTTGGTACCGTTTCAGGGAAAAGCAAGAGGCTGATGGCCAGCTGAAGGAACTGAAGGACCAGCTGGAGGCAGAGCAGTATTTCACAGTAACTCTCCTTTTCTAGTGCATCTGTCAAACAGTAGCGACAGCCGAATATTTTACAGTCGGCAACAGCATGAATGTTCAGCATAGTGGAAAAAAAGAAATCATAAATCTGCATCATTAAGCGCTAACGTGCGATGTAAAACTGCAACTTTTGTGCTTTTTTTTTTTCTCCCATAGACTCTTTACAAGACACAGATTCGTGAGCTGAAGGATGAATGCGAAGAGAAGAATAAGATGTATAAAGAGGCGCAGCAGCAGCTGTCAGAATACCAGGAGGAGAGGTAACTGTACCTGTCAAGATTCAACTGCTTTCAACATTCACATAATAATCCAGCTGTTCCAACAGAAAAAAAAAATATATATATATATATATATATCGTGATTCAGTAAGAAACACCGAGATGTCTGGAGAAAGGATTTAAAAAAGCAAACGGCAAACAACTTCAATCCTCTGTGAAAGTATCAGTCTTCATCAAACTCGGACACAAACCTCTGATCGAACCAAAGCAATATGTGTGAATTGGACATAAAATTATATAATCCGTCTTCCATTTGCATGATGGATTATTTTTCTTGCGTCTCTCTCTTTCTACCAAAACCTTGATGACGAAAGGCTTCAGTCTGGTGCACTGGTCTCAGCTAGCCCCCTTTTTGACAGACAATTTTGTTAGAAATGAAAGGGTGTTGACCCTTAAAAGGGTGTCCTTGCGTTATTATGCCATTACTATTATTGCTTGAAAATCATCTCAATTTAATAATATTAATGTTCTGGAACAATTTATCATCCTGCAATATTTTTATTGTGACAGGTCTACCACATTTGTGAATTTTACTCCAATTTAGCCTTTTTGCCAATTTTTTTTTAAAGTAGTTCCATTTTCCCTGAACTTCAGTTATTAGATCCTTTGTGTCAGTTTATCTCATAAAATTTCAATAAAACACATTGAAATATGCAGCAGCAATGTGACAAAATGTGAAAGAGTTCAGCTCTTATGGGATTTTTGTCTCAAAACTAGAAAGCTTTTATTATCTAACATTTGACAATGGAGCAGACTTCCCAGATTAGTGTCTTTGCTTCCCAATGAATTCGTCTCGCAGCCAAAAAAACAGAACATTATTTTATTTATTTTTTTTACGCCATCATGGATGTTTGGAGATGTCCCAAATGTGAAAAGTTTACTGTTTAAAGAAGCTGCTTCAGCATTCTTTCGAAGACCTGTCAATGACAAAAATGTCATTGATTAATTATGTTCCGACTCGCCACAGGCAGAGGATTTCTAACTGGCATAATGATGCCAGGGATTTAGTTCTGTTCAAAGATTTATCCAGCTTAATAAGGGTTCCACGTGTTTCTGCCCCCCGATCAGGGATTCTCTGGCAGCACAGCTGGAGAGCAGTCTGACCAAAGCGGATTCTGAACAACTGGCTCGCTCCATCGCCGAGGAGCAGTACTCGCTTCTGGAGAAGGAGAAGATCATGAAGGAGCTGGAGATCAAGGACATGCTGGCGAGACACAAACAGGAGCTGAGTGAGAAGGAGGCCACTATCGACTCGGTGAGAGACGCTCGCATGGCCTGGACTTTGGCAGTAAATAGTAGAATGATGTATTTGGTCTCGGCACTCGCAGACTTGGCCTTAAATGTAGTTTATTTATGTTTACCAAACTCTTCTGAGAATCATTCTTTGGTTTATATGTTATGCACAAATTCAACTTTAGATTTACCTGGTTGAATTTGTAAAAGGAGCTAATTAATTAATTTAAATAGTTTCACAAACACACTCCATTAACGAAAACGCTAACTACAACAGATTATTGGAGAATGTATACATTTTTTATTCATCACTTTTTGTTTTTATTCTGATACCATTAATCTCAACCTTATGGATCGGCAAGTTTTTTTTTTTTTTTTTTTTTTTTTTTTTAATGTTTTTTTTTGGAAAAGGTTTGGATATTTTTTTTTAAATTTTTTTTTTTTTTTTTTTTTTTCATTGAGTTAATATAAAGTCTGTTTACATTTTCGACGTAACACTCTGGTATCTGCAACTCTCGGATGAAAGAGACTTGAATCCTCTGACTAATGTTTGCATTCATGACTCACATTTCTTATTTACATGTAAAATATTCAGCTTAGTTTCAACTGCAAAGTGCTGACAGTCACACCAGTAACATAAAAAGCGATGGCATGAAAGAAAAAGATGCTAAATAGCTACACTTACACATTGTGTATGAAATGTCGGTCTATAGCCTGGCGCTTCAATCTAAAATCTGTACAATATGATCAGCAGCCAGCAAGCACCACCATGTCTCTGTCGCCGTCAATTTTTCTGCTTCCTGTAGGCTTCTGTTTTCGAATAACTTCTACAGATTAGTTGTCTGTGGCCAGAATCAGCTCACGTGTCCCCCGTCTTCTTTCTCAGCTGGAGGAGTCCAATCGAACTTTGACGGAGGACGTGGCCAACCTGGCCAATGAGAAAGAAGAGCTGAACAACCAGCTCAAAGACCTGCAGCAAGGTGAGACTCCCGTTGTGCTGATGAGCACCGGGCAGAATAAACGTCCACAAACGGACAATTTGAGCCGACAGGGTGTAAAAGCTGTCTTGGTCTACTTCAAACACCCCAACGTCTATTTCAAAGCTACAAATAACAAAACACTTTTTTCTACTTTTTGCACTGATTACAGTTTTACCTGTCAAACCAAATTTATGACAAGATGGAGGTTATATGGTAAAATAAAACAAAAACTCAAACACCTCAAAAATCCTTCAGACAATAAAAGAAATTACAACATTTCCTTTCAGTTGCTGAAAAGGTTATGGGTGCCACATTACATTTTTTTTTTTCTACAAAATCTATCAAAAGTTTCACCAATCTTAATATTTGAGAGAAAAAAAGCCAATTTATATTTAAGCATTCGACAGTTAATTATTCACTGACTTACTGAAAATATCCAGCAACCTTGCGTAGCCTTTTTGTTGTTGTTGTTTTTTTTTTAGACCAGTTTGCCCAGATAAAAATCATCCTATTTTGTCACCATCTGGTTTTCTTTTATGTGATTTAATATGTGTTGAAGAAAATATGTGTATAACTACTAAAATTACATGCACGTTTGCCTTTACAGAACTGCAAAAAGCCGAAGAGATGAAGAAAGAGCTGGAAAGTCTAAAAGTGACTTTTGAAAAACAAGTGCAGTCTGAAAGGACTCTGAAAATTCAGGTGTGTGTGGACCTACACGGATCTGAAAACCATATGCATATTTTCTCCCCTTTTCAAGTTAAAAACGGACAACCTCAATGTTATGCCATCTCTTGTTAAGAATAACTCGACTCTACGGGCTTGTATTGAACTCTGGGCATCTGCAAAGAAGCATAAAAATTCCCTTTCTCACAGCAGCATCGATTCCTGCAACCCTCCCCGCTTATTCCCCGGGTTTATATTTACCATATAAAAGAGCTTTGTTTTACTGCAGCTTGTTTTTTTTTTTTTTTTTTTTTTTTTTGCTCCCAGGCTGTGAACAAGCTGGCTGAGGTGATGCACCACAAGAAGGCGAAGGAGAAGGGGCGAGGGGGCGTCCGAGTTGTCGACTCCGAGATGCACAAGAAGGAGAAGGAGAACAGGAAGCTGCAGCTGGAGCTGAAAGCAGCGAGGGAGAAACTTGACGGCTACATCTTCAACCACCAGAAGGAGCTGGATGACATGCAGGCGGTCAGTGCACCCACGATGCCCAAAATACACCCAGAATATAAACTTGCTACCAGAAAACATCTGCTGCTCTGACACGTCAAACAGAGATGCATTTTCTTTTTACTGGTCAGATTGTTCTGCAGAGCAGGATGCAGACCGACGTTGCTTTATTTGCAAGGAAGGTAGAATGCAATGCGGACAAGAGAGGAATAAACTAGGTTTGAACCCATGATTGTCACAGATGAGTTCAGAAGTTTAAATCCACACATCATACTCGTGCTTGACTTATTAATTTTGGTCATGCGTCTCAGCAGTTATTTTCCAGGACAGATTTATAATAAAATATAAAGCTTGAGTGATTTTTTTTATTTTTTTTTCCGAAACCAGAAATGGATTCCCGTCTGAATTTATAGCAGGTTTTACAAAATGTAGTCATATAAGCTCAAATACATGCGCAAACTCCTGCATCTTACTAATAGACAATCATCTAAGTTTAAGTGGGAGTATACAAGTATATCTGATCCTGTGTCCATATGACATTTGAACCTGTGTAAATTAAAGAAAACCTTTTGCACCCAATTGTTAAAAAATTATGGTTACTTTTTTAATTTATCAGTTCATCCAAAAAAAAATGGCCAAAGTCGAGAGTAACTAAACCAAAATATTGTAGTATTCATGCCCATGATGAATCTACCGTGATGTGAAAAAGTTTATCAGACAAATTTAAATTCTGAGCCAACGATAGAGTAAATAAATAAAAAACTTTGTTTATACCACTATTTGTTTGTTCTGGATCAACTTAGCGTAAGGGGAAAAAAAAAAGATCTAAATTACGAGAAATCTGTAAGTCAACTTCACATGTACCCAAACTCAGCTTTGAGTGTTTGTGTGGACAGATGATGATCGAAGAGACCCACCTGCGCCAGGAGCTGCAGATGGCTCTGGACAGTAAAGACAGCGACATCGAGCGGCTTCGGTGTCAGATCACGTCCCTTAGCGTTCACTCTCTGGACTCCACCAGCATCAGCAGCATCAACGATTTGGAAATGGCAGACGGATTCCCAGGTAGGCTCCTCAAATTGAAATCGTCGCTACATATTTCCCGGTTTTAAACTGCATTGTTTAGCCCTTAGACAAACTTCTGCATGGATTCCTCCTCTTTTTTTTATTAGTTGCTTCCACTTCTTTCTCAATGTTTCTCCCCCCCCCCACCACATGCTTGCTTTCGTGCTCCTGTACAGTGAGCATTACTCACTCTCGCACCTCCGAGTCGATGTCCTTCACCTACCAGCGCACGCACAAATCTGTCCGCGTTGACACTCGGCCCAACCTTCACTCGGCCCGGGCTCTGTTTGACTCCGAGTCAGAGGATGAGGAAGACGACGATGAGCCTGAGGAGCATTGCCAGCGCCCTCTGGCTCTGACCTATCCGCAGTCCCGTGAGCCAGAAGCCGGAGGTGACCCTGCATGGCGTGGAAGACTGAACCCCGCAACCCTATTTTTTTTTTTTTTTTTTTTTTTTTTTAAATTTTTTTTTT